ATGACTTCGTTCCAGACTGTTCTAAGGCGGAAAATAGATATTCATTGTGCTTTATTCTATTCTTTTCCATGCTAAACAGTGTGTCCTTGCATTCTAAGGTGATAACACTTGCTCCAGAGCAACGTCGCCTCAGCATGCTAGCATCCACTTTCGTGATGATTTTTTCCACCACTGTGCGCACTTGAGGATATTTCCAGATGTTGCCTTGGCTCACCTCCATTGCCTAGCATACCAACAGTTAACCTGAAAAGCAAAACAGAAAGAACCGCATTTCTCTCAGTTGCGAATCCACTATGTTATACTCTTGCCGTAGGAAAAAAAAGCCATACACACAAAACACATGTTAAACATCAATGTACTATTACAAGAGTTCTGGAATAGGAACTAATCGCATCGACTAAAATACCACATGTAGAAGTAACTTATGCTTCATGTCTGGTACTACTAATACTACTAACAATCAGTGCTAAACCAACATGACAATCTGACCTCAAAGGAACAATGCAAAGAACAACAATGACCGCCGAATCCGGTCACACCAAGATCGCAAAACATTACAGCGAAACCTTTCTAAGGCGACCACTCAAGGGACGAGAAAAAGTGGTCACCTTGGCTAGGTGGTCCTCTTATCCAGGTTCAGTGGGTCACGTGAACATAATTCAATCACTATACACGTATGACTCGTACCTGCGACATATCATTTTGATCAGTGCATTACACTGCACACACGTATGCTACTATCACATGTGCCTGGGGGCCTCAGACCTGTCAAGTGTCGTACATGCACCATGTACATCTACACTGATGCTCAGTCTGCGGACAGAACTGTTTCTTCCTGCGCTGATATGTAGATCTACCATGTGTGGTGCACAGTGCAATGCGTGCAAGTACATGAACTAGTACTATAGTGCGTTTCAAAAGTCCAGACATCCGGTTTCAAAAAACCGTTAGGCCAGCATCTTGATAGGCATATTGCCTTTGGGTCATTTCATAATAATAATAATAATACTCATAAAAAGGACACACTTCAGGCTCATTACAAACATCTTGAAAGTTTTTGTCTTCACAAGTATACTTTCAAGCCTTCTCATCAGGTGAAATACAGGCAAGGGAAAAGGAACAGGAACAGTGGATTAAATACAGTAAGAAGGTGGTAAAACAGCGCAAAAAGAAAGAAAGAAAGAAGATAGCTAAAGTAAACAGCGAAAATTGCAATAATGACACAAAGGTGCAAATGCGAGAAAACTCAATAAGCGCGACATGTAGTGCGACAACAAGAGACAACCACTGGACATACATGTAACTAACGAGGTTTTGACGACCTACCTAACAGCCTAAGTGTGAATTTGATTTGTTTCTGCTTGCAAAGGTTGGGTTTCCTTGTGTGGATGTATACAGCTTCCAAAACATTCAGCAATCTAGCACTGCGTACACGTGACACAATCGAAAAACAATCATCCGAATACACAGCACGACAATCAGGATGCTCAAACAAATGACTAGCAATGGACGACTCATACTTATCAGAACTAACATCAGAACAATCAGCATGTGCGGTGGACACATCCGATTTCACATGGCTAGTCGAGTGGACCCTAGCCGTTGTCTCTGCCTGTGCTTTAGTCGCTGCCATCGCCACCGTTGCCGATCTTGTCATTCTTCTGGTTGATGCGGTTCCTGTCACTGCCACGCACGTAGGTGTCTTGTCCGGTTGTTTTTCTGGTGGTCTAGTTAATTGTGAGGTGACGTTGCTTGGTGTTGATGCCGCTGCGTTGGACCATCTTGTACCAGGATGATTCTTTGCTGGACGTCCCCTCCGTGGTCGAGTGGATCGTGCGTGTTGTGGAATAAGGTGTAGCGGTGCGTGTTGTCGGATGCGTGCGTCCAGATGTTGAAGAGTCCTACCTACATTTTTCGCTGTTTACTTTAGCTATCTTCTTTCTTTCTTTCTTTTTGCGCTGTTTTACCACCTTCTTACTGTATTTAATCCACTGTTCCTGTTCCCTTGCCTGTATTTCACCTGATGAGAAGGCTTGAAAGTATACTTGTGAAGACAAAAACTTTCAAGATGTTTGTAATGAGCCTGAAGTGTGTCCTTTTTATGAGTATTATCGCATTTTTGTCTCAGAGGAAACTGTTTACCTAATAATAATAATAATAATAATAATCTATACCACTTGAAATTTGTGATCACGTTGTGCATAAAAGTTTCAAAATTGGGCGTCTGTTATCCAATCCCTTAGAAATTTACATGAGAAAAATTGCGTGAGCTGCCTGAGCAATATTCCGAAGAAATTTCTCGAAAAGCTCAAAACAAATTTGATTTATTCAAAATGGTCTAGCGGTCTATACTTTTGAAACACACTATAGTAGTAGGGTCCACCAACCAGAGGCCAAAGGCCTCGATCCCATTTGCCACATCCATGTATTACTCATGCCAGGCCACGAGTTCCCAATTAACTGTGGGTCGCAGCACGGTTGGAAAAAATCCTTCCGCTTCCATTTATCCTCCCCCACCGTTTAGGAGCCGCATCTGACGCCTGATCATGGGGTGGTGGCGTCCCACGGAAGCGGAAAGGTGGTTCTTGACCAGGGAGTTGTATGACTCCTTGTTCTTGACCTGCCCGGTACGCGAACCCCGTCGAATTTATTTATTTATTTTATAGTAGTAGGGTGCAACATGGTCGCAGGTGGGTGGTCGCCTTATCCGAGCTGTTTTGAATGTGAATGCGTCCGTGACAAGGAAAAGTGGTCGCCATTACAGGTTTACTGTACTTGAACAAATTCCAGGTGATACCAGCTATTTTCTTGGAACCCTGTGCTGTCCGGTTTGAGAAAGGTGCACGTGTGAACCCCACTCCGTTCTATGTGTATGTGACACCCACTCTTTGTAGTTATTTTAGATTTTGCCTGTATTTTACCTGACAATAAGGCTTCAAACTATACTAAAGAAACCGAAAACTTTCAAGAGCTGAAGTGTGTCCTTTTTCTGAGAATCGCATTCTTGTCTCCAAGGAAACTGGGGGAAATCTTTATAGATATAATAATTATTGCTGCTTGTTACCGCTGCTTATTGTCCATGTAAATTGTCATAGTCGAAGTACAGTGCTGTTTTACTGAGGCGTTCGGTTTTTTCATGATTCTTGTTTGCATAGCTTCCCCTTTTATTGATCTTCGCATCTTTTGAGCCACACAAGTTGTGTGGAATGTTGCTTTGCGTTCTTGAATCGTTGTTTGACCGTATTGTCCAATGATCTTGCCAGTATCGTCACCGACATGCATGAACATCCGCCAACGTCCTTCACAGCTGAGACTTTCAGCTCGTGCTTATCTTGGTTGCGCTCACCTTCCCCTCCTTATGTTATTTCTATAACTTAGAAGTTAGAACCTTCCAAGTCGGAAGGCTGTTGGAGTGCCAGCTAGTTGTAGAACGTCAGTACCGTCGGTCAGTGTCGTGCAATGTTATCGCATGAGCTGATTTTTTAGTAACTGGTGGTGGTAGTGGACAGTATAGCGTAACTTGTAGTTCCTTGGTTCTTTCTCTTTTGTATAAATTAAACCTTGGCTCTCCATCCGAGTCCATAATAATTATGTATTCAACCTTTCATGCATTGAATCTAGGGTTTGCCCTTGACGTCGACTCTACTATAATGAGTTTCAAAAATATAGACATCTGGTTTCAAAAGCCCGTCAGGCCAGCACCTATACCACATAAAATCTGTGATCACTTTGCATAATATCTGCGAAATTGGGCGTTTTTTATGCAATTACCTAGAAATATATAATTTATAATATCATATTTGAGCACTCTGGCAAGGTACGTTCGGGCCTGATTGGAAATTTTTATTTCCATTGCTATCAGGTTCGGCCTCATTTCCTCTGTGCTGCGCTGACGAGTCCACAAAGGACGAAACAGTTCTGTCCGCAGATTGAGTATTTCGCTCCTGCTCTTGTAGCAGTTGAGCACTCTTGCGTGGGGTAGTGCCTTTGCTGTTTGCGTTATGCAGAGCTCACTGACTTGTCAGTTTGAGCACTCTGGCAAGGTACGTTCGGGCCTGATTGGAAATTTTTATTTCCATTGCTATCAGGTTCGGCCTCATTTTCTCTGTGCTGCGCTGACGAGTCCACAAAGGACGAAACAGTTCTGTCCGCAGATTGAGTAATTTATAATATCAGAAATTTGGGGGAACTGCCTGAGCAACATCCCGAAGAAATTATTCAAAAAGCACAAACCAAAATTGAATTAATCGAAAATGAGTCTAGAGGTCTATACTTTTGAAACGCCCTACAGTAGTAGGCTAATCTCTAAAAAGAAATTCCTTCTATGCAACTACATATATTGACAGGTATTGGGCATAGAACACTATTCATGAAGATGAAGCACCCATGAGTTTTCAAAACCTTTCACACCAAGTGCATTGCACCCTGCACTGTCACTAGTCACTTCAGTTGACTGAACCAGTGTATGCACTCGCTTTTGACTTAAACCCTGTTGCAGCGAAGCCTGAGAAGCACTTGCGGTCGTTGTATGTCAGATATGGCACTTGGTACTAGACGTGGGTCGCTGGTCGCGAAACACGGGTGCCAGATGGTCGCTGTTTCTGGCGCAGTTTGCATGCAGAACCGCCACTGCATTGAAAAGCGCTGTTCACTAATACCAGAGGTCGCTTAATATTAGCTCAGGTTTTACTGCATCCTGCTAGGTTTAGCTGTGTCACTACATGCTAGCTCTCCAAGCTACTTAGAACTCATTGGCTTCGTGTCTCCAGACATGTACACCGTTAGTCTAGGTAGAGTCGAATTAAAATTTATTTTGTTAAACATTGCTGATAATCTCCTGGACAAGACTCCAACAGCTCATCTACTAATACCTATTGCAAATTTGACATTGTATACAACAGATCATCTGCTCTACGGAGTTATTATCATATTGCATTCAGTGACAAGCCGGTTTGATATACAGCTAGGCCGGCAGGAAATCCTTTGGCCATGGCTTGCATTATTATTAATTTATAGAAGAACAAAAATGACCAAGGAAGTACAAGTTACGCTATGATGTCCACTAACACCACCAGTTACTAAACAATCAGCTCATGCGATAACATTGCACGATACTGACCGACGGTACTGACATTCTACAACTAACTGGCTAACAGCTCTAGCACATCTTGGATGCGCGCTCCAACAACCTTGGTCCTTTTTGTTCTTCTATAAAATAATCCTTGGCTCTCCATCCGAGTCTATTATTATTAATTTTTTTTTCAAAGAGAAAAGGACCTGTAAGTAAGTTACTACTTGGTCCACCCAGTCTAGTTACAATCGCCGCTTATCTTCACACTTGTCTGAGAAAGAAAATACATATACTTGAAGCATGCCACGATCACAAAACACTATGTACATGATAATGTACATGTCAGTAAGCGCCTCAGCCGAAAATTCAAGCAAGTTACACGTCTTCCTCGCCACTATCGTCGCTGGAAGAGCTCAAAACTCTCGATCCGGACAGCTGCTGCACGTTTCATAGCTTGTTTCACTTCTGCTACGGTCTCGAATCACGCTCTAAGGCAGTGCGTGCCTGTCACCTTGCCGCTCAGAAGCTGAGTGAGACTGCCCGCGTGTTGGCTGTAAGTGGTATCCCCTTTCGTTGCAATAATGCCTTTGTTTGAGACAAAAAAGCAACATCTCATCACTGTCCTTTTTCTCAAATCGCCTCTTGCGCTTGCCGTACTTGCTGATCCGCACCCAGCCACGCCAGCCCCTGGTGCGTGTACACACAGCGCAGTGATAGCTTCCGCTTGATGTAACACCTGTGCGTACTGCACCTAAGTCCTACGCCAGTCTTTTCGGCTAGTTTCCTGAAAGTCCTTTGCACAAGAGTTTCCCTCAGGACTTTGGTGTTTATTTTGATTCGCTACTTGCCCAGTCCTCTGCGATCTCTAAAGTGTGTCCGCCGGATTGGTCTCACTTTCTGGAGATGTCGGCATGAGCTGCAGCTTCTTCGTCAGCGATTTGCTGGTGATAACTCTTCACTAGGCGCTGTACTGGGCGAGCACTGAAATTCGAGCTCGCGATGCACTTTTTCAGCTTTTCCATACCTCTCCGCGGTAAACCATCCTTGCCACCAGAGCTGGAAGTAGGCAGAAACTGTATTCTCCATCGCTCTGAAATGCGAACATCACGACCTATTTTACGGATTGGAGCGGAGGTTGCAGCGTTTTCTTGCGCTGACGGAAGTGTTCGTCTGTTGCAGCTCCAGTCAAAAAGACTCAAACTAACCGATCGCAACTCCTGTGATGGTTTGTGCCGCCGTGTTGTCGGATGCAATGGTCAATGGTTATGTTCGAATGGTAAATCGGTGGTTCCATGCCGTATGACACAGGCAGAACAACGAAAATCAAGTGCGAAGATAAGCGCCAATTTTAACTTGGCGGACCAAGTAGTTATAATTATATGACTAACAGTCCACCAAGGTAACGAGATACTATACAGTAAGATAGTGCGACAACAAGGCACAAAACTGACAAGGATATAGAGACATTGGACGACCTGACACCTAGCTCCAACACATCTACGAAGCGCAAACCAACAACCTTCCAACTTGGAAGGCTCAGGTGCGGAAAATTCCAAAGAGGGCCCGGGCCCTCTTTCTGTATTTTTACATACCTTTGAGCCTCCCAAGTTGGGTGGTCTGTTGCCTTGCGTTTTCGAGTTATAGTTAGACCGGTTTGTCCAATGGTCTTACTAGTCTCGTCATCATCATCCCGAAACGTTCAACATTCTTTATTGCAGAGGGACATAGCTCGTGCACATCTTCATGGCGCACCCCTTCCCCTCTTTGGAACTTTCCGCAAGCGAAAGCCTTCCAAGTTGGAAGATTGTTGGTTTGTGCTTCGTAGATGTGTTGGAGCTAGGTGTCAGGTCGTCCAATGTCTCAATATCCTTGTCAGTTTTGTGCCTTGTTGTCGCACTATCTGACTTTAAAATATACTAATAAAAACCTCTGCATATTTTTGTGATGAATGCAAGTTGTTTATATCGTGTATAGACCTCAATAAAAAACCTGTAGCTATAAAACATGGCTGTAAAAACCTGCCAGTGATAAAAAACCTGTATAAAAAACCTGTAGCTATAAAAAACCTGTAGCTATAAAAAACCACTTTTTAGGGATTGAATAGGAGAATATGCAGAAAAATAGAGTAGAGCGTAGAGTAATAGAACGAGAGATCACAACAAGAAGAAGAGATACAAAAATTCACTTATCATCATCATCATGCTCCTTCTTTGGCTTCTTCTTCAATTTCAAACTCGGGCGATTCTTACGTTTCTCAGGCAGCTGTGGAGTTACGTTGATAGTAACATTCGACCAAGTTGAGCCTTGAGCAGAGAACAGAGAGCCCAGTGGTGAAGGACTAGATGATGCAGCAGCAGCGACAGCAGCAGGCGGTGCAGACACGGGTGAAGCAGATACAGGTGCTGGTGATGTCTGCGGACTAACATTTTCCTTGTCAATTGCTTTTGACAAAGCCATGACATCCGATGCCGTCGGTCGGTCATATGCCTGAAGTGACTGCACATTGCGATGACCACTTACGGTGCAGATCTTGCGATCCTCAGCTCCGGAGGCCTTCATGTGGGATATAGAAGTAACACGGACGCAGTGGTTAGTGTACGTCTGGCCAAGGCCAGCGGCTGAAGAAATCTCCTTCATCATCTTTCCTGCATAGCAGTATCACAAAATATACAGAAACAGATATCTTAATGAGTGAAATGAGTCATTCATCACAACCTCCAGAATCTCAATAAAAATTAGGTACAAGTATAGAACACCTGAGAGGGAACACTGACACCAATCACAGAAGCTTGGAACAAGAGTTATACAAAACGCCGTTCAAAATGGGAGAAAATACAGCTACTTACCCAATGTGTTGTGTCCAAGTGCCGACTTCATAAACCAAACATCACAGTCCATGGCGAGCACTCCACTTCCGTACTTTGCCCGCTGGAATAGACGATCCATTTCTGGATGGAGCTTTGACAGGTACCTTCGGAAAACAGCGATCATATCAGATCTTGTGATTGCTCCGCTGGTCTCGGTATGGCTCCCTGTCAGACCACCCTGATGGTTCTTTGACATATAATCAGCGTGCAGAACAATGGCTTCCTCACCAGCGATTGTCGTGAATACGAGGTCGGATGGCTTGAGCTGGGATTGTGCCTCGTTTCCACGAAGACAGAAATGGATCGTGCAGTTGAACCACACGTACTGAGTGAGCTTCTTTACGTCAAGAGTAGTGCTCACGTCTGCGAAATACCCGGACAGTTTCTCCCCGTCTGCATCGCAAATCGTCTCCTTGTGCGTGACCGGGGCCTCTCGACCATTCTTCTTTTTGTCCTTGAGAACAGCATCGAGCAGTTTGTTGGCGCGGTCGAACTTTAGACTTTTCAAGTCAATTCCTCTGTTGAAGATATTGAGTTGGCGCTGGATAGCACCTCTGGCTGCAATCATAGAAGCACGCTTGTACTCAGTTTTATCCTTTTTCCTGGCACAGCAGTAAAAGGACTCCAATAAAGAGGCTAATGTTTCCTCTTCGATGCTCATCCAGTCAGCGTCCTTTTCCTGTAGAAGTTTTCGGGCATCTTCATTGTCCGAACAAAAGTCTTTGAACACAGACATCCAAAACTTCGTTGCCTGCTTTGTTTTCTGAGGTACTGCTTCGTCTAGAAGACGAGCCTTCTCTTCGTCAGAAACTGGAACGAAACGAGAAGAGGAAGCTGAATCTGCCATCTTGCCAAAGTTGCCCAAAGACAGAAAGAACGAAAACGCACGATGAGCCTGCAAAAAGATTGATCCAAAATGGAGTCTCATGAAAATCGTTTTTTATTAGTTTATTTTAAAAAGAATAGAAACTTCGCCCTCGTGTTCACGAAAAATAAAAACCCTCGTCAAAAAACCTCGGCTTCGCCTCGGTTTTTTGACTCGGGTTTTTATTTTTCGTAAACACTCGGGCTCAGTTACTATTCTATAAGTATACTATCTCGTTACCTTTGGTGGACTGTTAGTCATAAATAGTAACTTATAGGTCCTTTTCTCTTCACATACCGTAGAATCCCGCGGATAAGCCCATGGGCTTATCTGTTTCACAAGGACATTTCGGTGGGCATATACAAGAACATGGGTATTTTCGCGGGCATGGGCTTATACGCTGTCACCAACATTGTGCTATTGAAAAGTACCAAGGAAGTGAGAAGTACGTTGCTGAAAGCCACTGTGCAAACAAAAACAACCGATGATTTTGTTGAAATGTACAAAAACAATCTACATGACATTGTACTATGTACATGGTACGACCAAGAGTCCATAATTTATGGACTCTTGGTACGACCTAGACCCATGGGCTTGTATGACGAAGCTTCGTGATGTTCGAAATAATGTTACTTGGCCTGGGCTTATGCGCAAGCATGGACTTATACGTGGGTGGGCTTATCCGCGGGATTCTACGGTATTACTATTACTATTGGCTAAACATCCCAGTTTTCATTATTCATTTTTTTCATTATCTACGACCAGTATGACTACTACTGTACTCACTTCTTCTTGGGGTGAGACATGGGGATCTTGCCATACTGGGGTGTGAGTGTGAGCCCTCCTCTCGGGACTGCATTTTACACAGTGCAGGGGGTTTACGCTTTCTGGACGTTTTTCGCCCACACACTGCATGTTCTTCTACTGATCTTTTCAGGAAGCATAATACACTCAGATAGATACGTGTTCTAAAACACACATATTTCCATAATAGCATTGTGTACGTACCCCCAAGACCAAGTAGTTAGTCACAGGCCGTGCTGGAACGTATTACACGACGGCAGCAACAAGAGATCGCCCTGACGATATTTCGCTTACACTCTTACACACACAATCTACTGCTAGGTGTTCGGCGCACCTATTGTCGTAACTATTAGTATTCCCGTAGATTATCGTTCCTAACTAAAAACTGCGCCAAAGACACACTGCTAACGTTATAACGTCGTAAGTAACTAAATAAAAATATTTTAGTAACTACTGTAGCGGACATGGAAATCCAGTCGATTGACCATCATTGACCTGGCCGCGGGGCCGGCGCCCTCAGCTCAGCGCGTTCAGAACGCTGCGTGCAGTGCAAGTGCACTTGCTGATCCGATACGACCAGCGCGCAGCCTGCATGCAGCGCATAAAATTTAATGCATGTACATGTATGTACCGCTTATCCACGGCTGCATGGCCAGCGCGCCCTAGCCCTGGGCATGCATTGCGAAAGGCATGAATCAGGGAGTAGTAAAATACCGGTATTTTTCTACTCCCTGGCCCGAATATTATGAACATGTGACCATGTACATACATTTGTATGGGTTTTATTTTTTTCCCACAATTATTTTAAAGAGTCGGCGTGGAGAAAGCAATTTTATTAGTGCAATTAGGAGTATAATCGATGCAGACATGGCCAGACAACAACGAGTTCATGGAATTTTTAAGGATTTTTATGTTATTCAAAATCGATTTTCGTGTTCCGCTCATCAGTGAATAGTATCGGAACTGAGGCTGATAAGGAGTGCAGTGAGACTAAGCATCAAACGGATGATGAGGAAGTGACTGATGATGATGATGGTGGTGATGAGGACGATGATGATGAAGATGAGACGGAGGACGAGGATAGGGCGGAGGAGGTCGAAGGAAAGGAGCGGGATGAGACGGAAGAGAGCGACGTGAGCAAAAAGTCAGCTGTATTTTGTCACTTGTTATCACGTCCAGATTGTCTTAGTGTGTACGATGATTCTCACTTTTCTGTTTTGTGCCGTGCAAGTTATGTTAAGCAATTGAAGGTTCTGGAAGCTGTATGTATTCGTGTGCATAATCCTGTTCTTTGTAAACAAAAGAAGCACGTAGTCGCGCTAAAGTTGTTCTCGTAGCTGGTTATCAGATGTAAATGTTGTGTCATGTTGCACTGTATCACCTCTTGCTTTGTGGCTGCACTCAGTTATATACGTTAGCACTATGTTTGACACATATTATGTAATGCTGTAGCACTTCCTTTGTTGTTCACACTTTTAATTAATTATGCTGTTATAAAATGTTCTATTTTTGTACACAGTACCCTCAGTTCCGATACTATTCACTGATGAGCGGAACACGAAAATCGATTTTGAATAACATAAAAATCCTTAAAAATTCCATGAACTCGTTGTTGTCTGGCCATGTCTGCATCGATTATACTCCTAATTGCACTAACACAATTATTTTGTTTATTAATTTTCCAAAGATAGGGTCACACATTGTGTGACCCTATCTTTGGAAAATTAATTGTGTGACCCTATCTTTGGAAAATTAATAAACAAATAATTGTGGGAAATAAAATAAAACAACGCTCGCTCGCACCGATTTTCACAGGCTCATGACCTGAGAATCAACTTAATTTTTTACCATGGCCAGGGGAAACAGTGCAAAACACACGAAATGAACTAAAGTAACGTTAGTTACCAATCTACTATTAGTACTAGTATTACTATTACTAGTATTAGTACAGTCATGTGTTACTAATGTCAAGTATTGAAGTAATGACATGACAATAGAGAGGTTTCGCTTCACGTTGTTCTGCACTACACCGTGAAATTTCACGTCGGTGTGGCAAATTTTGGCGTCGAAACTCCCGTTCATGACGTGAGCTGAGGTCAACTCACGTTCGACGTGACGCGAGTTTTTGCAAATTTAGCCTTGCTATCAGGTTGGGATTATTGACTCGATTTGTCGATTTTGCCTAAACTAGCTATAAATAATATTTGTGCGACTTTGGCCTCACCAAAAATCACTTTTTTCACTTTTTGAAGTTTTCGCCCCCAGTTTTCGCTCCTGTCGTCAGCGAAACGACGTGCTTCACAAGCAACGTGAAACGAAAGCTCTTTCTGAGCTCGCGTCGACGCAAAAAATTGACGTTCACGTAAGAGCACAAATCACGCGGGTCGAAACCTCTCTAATGTAGATCTACCCGGACCGGTATCTGCGCGCGCGTGCGCGTGCATTCAAGCGTGTACGACATTGGAATCATTATCTGTATGACTGTAGTGTAGATCTACCATAACAGATCCGCATCATGAGCTACATAGTACATGTAGTGCGAGAGAACAAACTCAGCTAGTGATGTAGCGCACATACAGCCGTGAAACGAGGATATCAGTCCCAGCGGTAGAATCTACATGGTGGCTGTCTTTCTTCAGACTTTTCCCGTTTCAATCTTTTCCTCAAACCAGCGGATATCAGTACAGGTGATACCTTTCATGTCACCATTACTGCTCTAGGCTAGTCTAGCATAATTAAATGCAGTGATTGAGTTGATGACTGTTTCAAGGGTTTGTTGTGCCAGTCAGACCCTACAACTTCAACTACATGTAACTAACACTAACTAAGTTACTTACAAAATGTAGTACATGTACAAGCTAGGCCTAGGATCTATTGTTGGCCCAACAAGATCGGCAAGAACAAAGACTGACAATGAATGAAAGGTACTTCCCCTTCCGTGGCAAAGTGGCAAAGGGCAAAATGCAGGGGGAGAATCAGTATGATCCCCACGCGCAACTACATGAACAATGAACATGACATGTGACTGGCCAATGAAGGGGATCTACTACCGGTACGGCGGTAGTAGATGAGGATGTTATGGATGAGGATGTTACCTGATGATGATCGTGACTACTACTGTACTAGTAGTAGGTACTAATAGTAGTATGTCACTACTACTAGTATGTGAACCTCGGAGTTGCAGCACAGCTCCCCCTCTCTCTCTCTCTCTCTCTCTCTCTCTCTCTCTCTCTCTCTCTCTCTCTCTCCTCCCTCCCTCCCTCCCTCCCTCCCTCCCTCCCTCCCTCCCTCCCTCCCTCCCTCTCTCTCTCTCTCTCTCTCTCTCTCTCTCTCTCTCTCTCTCTCTCTCTCTCTCTCTCTCTCTCTCTCTCTCTCTCTCTCTCTCTCTCTCTCTCTCTCTCTCTCTCTCTCTCTCTCTCTCTCTCTCTCTCTCTCTCTCTCTCTCTCTCTCTCTCTCTCTCTCTCTCTCTCTCTCTCTCTCTCTCTCTCTCTCTCTCTCTCTCTCTCTCTCTCTCTCTCTCTCTTGTGTGGATTAATTAATTCGAATATTAAGTTATCAATGTGTGCTCCAGATATGGTTCTTATGAAGGGACACTGATCAATCCCAAGTGCTGGCTGAATGGGCAATCCCTCTTTCCACAGTCCAAAGAAAATCGCTCATCATCATTACCATTGAAGGGACAAGACCTATGAAAATAAGAGAGATGCAGGTATAGTAAAATTTGAGATAATGCTACTATGGGTAGTATGGGCGCGTTCGAATTGTCACCCTTTGACTTTTCGAGGAGTTTCGTTTTCCTGAAGAGGTGGCTTATTGGCCTCTTTAGAAAACGAAAGTCTCCTCGAAATTCCATCTACCCGATTGGAGAATTAGTTCAGAAGAGTTTGGAATAGCTACGTGGAAATGGTCGATCGGATCGGACGTCATTATCGCCATGACAATTCCACTGAAAAAAGTCTAAAGTGATAGAAACCGTTCAGTTTGGACACTTCAACTAATCTCTTTTATGAATTTGTTCGAAAAGTTGATCAAGACGATTCAAACGCACCGTAAGTCACCAGACTTTCGATAGCCACTGATCACATGAAGATTTGCAGATATACGCATGTGCACTGCAAGTCTGCATGTGTAGACAACGTACATCTACATGAACACAGACTGACTGTCCTACTTGCCAAAGTGAATGTGCAGCTCTTTACAAGCACACTACCGGGCTAAACACAAGCTGTCGAGTGTTTCACAATGTTCAAAGGTTTGATGGAGTTGAAACAGGAAAAGTATGAAACAAAGAAAACATGACTGAAACCACCAGGACGAGAACTTCGCTTTAATAGGGCAAGCGAAGCTCTACCACCAAGCTAAGGTGCAGTCGTCACCCCAACATCGTCCTTTAAAAAAATAATTCGGCAAAATTATCATCATCAGGATCGTGTAAACTGGATTGTGATGACAATAGACGGACTGCCTTCACAATCAGAATGAGCAGATTTGTGCTTCCCGTGAATCATGAATATAAACAGCCATTTATGGGTGTGGTGAACAAGGTCAGCTGGAGAGGGTATGTAGTGGTGGGGAGTTGGTAGTCTCAAAATGTACGATAATCTCATTCAATTATAAATTTATAATAAAACTTTGAAAGAACTGCAGAAGAGGGAAATACATTCATTTTGATCTGAATTACGGCCAGAATACTGCTGTTTTGAAGTGGATGGCCATACCACAAAATACAGTATAGTTTACGATGGCATCCTGTAGCTGATGATCTCCAACTACTACCAAGGTTAGTGTATATTTAGAGCAACTACTACCAAGCTGTTAGTGCATATTTCGAGCAGGTCATGCCAAAAAACAACCCCAGCTGATTAGTTCTTTTGTACCCGACGCTATTAATTTTTACATCAAATTTAACAGAATAGTAGGGTAACAGTTTCCTCTGAGACAATAATGCGATAATACACAGAAAAAAGGACACACTAGTAGGTAACATTTCCACCGGATTACTTTGCAGTAAAGAAAATAGCATAGTTTGGGTCACATTTTACGAAAACCAAAAGGGAATTCACAACTGAAAATCAAATTCAAGATTTACGTATGCAGCAGACATGTACATCGTAGTCTCAGTTCGGAATTCGGTACTAACCCTGCATGATAGGTGCAGCTAGTGTGCAGCACTTGTACATATGAGGACAGGATGCTCACTTCACTGGAACTGAGAAGCCATGGCGCAAGAAAATAATCACCAGGAAATTCATCTCTGCATAGAGTACAGAAGACAAACATTTCAATTTCATGGCAGTGCAGGACAAGACTGAACAACCATGCTTGCACACGCACTTGCATACACACACACACACATACACACACGTGCACACACACACACACACACACACAC